AAAGAGTGCTGAATGTTCCGGGGCAGATTCTGGTCTCCCCACTACTCGCCGGCCGTGTGCCTTTGGGCAGATCGTGATGCTGCATGAGGTCTGGGGTACAGTTTCCTGAACTATAAAATAAAGGAGCTCCTAGATGATCTTCAGGGTGCCTGTGGCTCAGCAGTCTATGATTTCATGGAAATCAAACCTTCGTCTCAGAAACAGGACTGGCAGATAGTCCCCTCTGGCGAGTTAGCCGATGAATAACAGACCCGGTGCTGACAGCAACGCAGGACTCCTGGCGGACTGGAATAAGCAGGCACTGGTCTGTGAGCTCCACACGGACCCCTCATCCTGCAGGACATGAAAGCCAGGCTTGCTGCTTCACTCGGAGCACGAATGTCTATCAAAACCACACCTTAAAAAGGAAGACGAAATGGGTTCTTGATCCGGATTAACCCTCTCTGAGGGAGCTCCTCTGGCCAAAAGAGCAAGGTATCGGGAACACAAAAATAGACATGCTGGAGGCAAAGATTCCAGAGGGTAAAGGGGGGCAGCAGCATGGCAAGGGAGGTTAGAACACAGAGTGGGGCTGGAGCTCCCAGCAGCCTTAGAGACGCCGGAAATACAGCGGTTAAACCTCCGCCACCAGCGCCACCACCACCAGCGCCAAACACCATTGAGAACCTACAGAACGAAGCCCTGCACCCCACACAAGAAGCACGGGAGACAGGGAGTTCGCTCACAGCGCCTCTGGGCGCCACGGCCCCCGGAGCGCTATAGCTCTTCCGCCCTCAGGTCCCTCCTCCCCTAGCTCCCCGGTGCCGCGGTGCAGCCTCATCTCCAGCCCTGCGCTCCCAGAGTCGTGGAACCCGGAGAGACCTGGGGCGGGGGGGCGGAGATCAGGAACACGATCACGATATAGTCCCAGCACGGCGACATTTCCCAGGGACATGACCGTGTCGACAAGGCAGCTAAACCCTGATGCCCTCGACGGATGAAAAGAGTCAGGGAAAGCTGTTAACACATCCTGAGTCAGGCCAGGCAGTGTAGACCAGGAGATAGTAACGGTCACTGTGAGCTCTTTGCACAGCCTTTCACTCAGGGCCACCCTACCTACCCCGCCGAAAATGAAGACAAGCAAACACAACAAGAGCGCGTAGTGAATAAATGGCAAGGTTGTTACGAAAAGTGAATGAGATGAAGTGTGTCTGGCCCCAAATGGAACAATAAACGTTAGTCCCTTTGGTCTCCTTTCGTTTTAGGGATCTTTGGAAAAATAACTGGATTCCTGAGTAGTTGGTCACCCTCTGGAGCCCTGCTAGCCTCTGGATCTTTTGGCCCCTACGAGGTAGGCCTGGATGGTTAGCTACACCTCTGCTGCTTGATAATTTTGGAATTATAATATTGCTTATGTAAACAGAAGAAAAAGAATGACAACTTTGAATTCACAGAACCCTCATAATCCTAGTTTACAGATCACGTCCTACATGTGGGCACAATTCCAAGCACTTTGTGTCTTAGCTGATTCAGCATTAGTGTCTCTGCTGTCTGTCAAGTCTTTCTCCGTTTGGTGCTATTAACTGCAAATCTTTGCTCAATAATGACAGATACAAGGCACTACCAGAACAGAGAATAAGTCAGTGCCTTTGTTTAGGACAAGAAAAGCTAACAACATTGGACATTTTACAGAGAGAAAAAAAAAAACGAGTTAGGCCTTTGCTCAATTTTGCCCACAAATTGCAACAATTCTGTTGCCAAAGTGAAGCAATAGGTTATGGAGATATTTATCCAATGGAAAGACTTGGCAAAAGCAGAGTAAGTTCCATGAAGGTTAAATAACATTAGGGAAATAACAAAACATAATTTAGAAAAGACCACGTAACTGATGCTCTGGCTTACGAACGAAGCTGTCTCGCATGTACACAGGGGGCCAGCATCCGATTCCCCACCTGGATGGTCAACAGAGTGCAGACAACAGGAAGGAAGCCCGTGGCTGCCGACTCTGTAGGTGGAAGGAAGACACGTAGGTCCCTGGGAAGGTCCACGAGAGCTTGTTTAAGGTGAAGTGTGAACTAGGGTGTTCTGCATCCCTGCGGCCAGCCAGACGCCGCAAGCACCAGCCCCCATGGCTGCCTGCCAGAATTCTGCCACCAAGAAACAAGTTTACTACGGCCAACCGTGAAATTATAAAACTCTGCTTACTCTTGGGGTGTATGTGTTTTACAGTTTGGTGCCTATGAAAATACCTTTGAAGTGTAAACACAGAGACCCCGATCCCCATTTGGGTATTCTTAATTAGTTTCACGAATTTCAACAATGTCCTCGCAGCAAAGATGAATCCTGTAATTTATTTCTAAGGCAGAGAGGGCACTTAGTTCAATGTCATTTGGCATGGATTCAGGTTCCTTTCCCAGCAACAGAAGAAAAGGCTTCATAAAAAGGAATGAAGAGAAGACACACTTTGCTCCTCTATCAGTAGTAAATGTTCAAACAGCATGTAACGAAGTTCGATGTCAAAGATTTCAAACCAACAAGCAAAAGCTGACTGCTGGGGGGTCAAAAGCTGCTTTGGGGGCATCTCTGTGCTGAGGCTGGTTTTGGTGCAAAACATCAAAGCATCAGTTGGTGCTGGAAGGGCGTGCTTCTGCTGCTGCTGGCGAGCTGCCCGCGTCGCCGGGGTTCTGTGGGTCCGAGAGCCACCTCCTGCAGAGCAGCGGTTCCCAGAAGCACCAGCAGAAGGGAGACAGCAGACAGGGGCCCTTGTACTCTGAAACATTTGTACTTTTATAGGAAAGCAAAGGAGTATAAGCATCTGGCAATCTGGAAAGACTGTTTTCTATTCCTGATGCTGAGATGAAACCTGGGGAGACGCCCCAGCGGCTTCAGAGAATGGAGGTCGTTTGAGGGGGACTCAGACAACTTACAATCCGCTCATTCTATTAAATGTACTAAATGTGGAATGTTCTTTTTCATGTGCTCTTTTCCTTTGAAGTATAAACTCACCGGCACTTATCTGGTTCAAGTATTTTGTGTCTCTTCAGCCAGTCGTCAGTATTTAAGCAGCAGTGGGTTTCTGGGCCACCACTCGATGCCACTTCAGCAGACAGGAGGTCTCTCACCAGCCCCCTCCAGAAGCGGTGCCCAGTAGCTCAAGAGAGGACGCGACAGGAGCAGGAAGGGGTCTGAGCAGACACCCGCCCGCCGTCACTGCCGAGGCACAGACCCGGGTCCGAGGCCAGCTCAGCTGCGTCTCTCACTCTGCAAGTAGCTTGGCTCTGCCGGTCCCACGTCTGAGCTAAAATGCCTTTTTAGATCCCAAGGTTCCAAAAATCAGCTACGCTGTCAATTATCATAAAAGCAACTGGTTGGCAGGAACAACTTACTGAACCAGCCAAAAGAGCGTGTTTTAAGACCAAAAAAGAAAAGGAATGAAAAAAAGAGATGCGTCGTTAGGAAAATCTTGGATGCTATAAAACCCAAACCATGTTGAAACTTAAAATGGGGCTATCCTCAGTTTGGACATGTGTTTCCTTATAAAGTTAAGTAGAGAAACAATTATAAAGAAAATTCAGTTCTACTGCAACTCGAGATGTGCAAGCACAAAGCCCTGTGGGCAAAGTGTCCATTCAAGTTTGAGAAATGCAGTTTAGAAATATTCATTCTGATATATATTCCTGAGGTAATAATTCTAGTCGTAAAAAGAGACAAAAATATGGCCAAATCTTTTGCACTGAGATTTTTTTTCAAATTTAATCAGTAAGTCCTGTTTTAAAATGTTCCACAAAATACTACTCACACCACTGAAAGGTAAATAAAATTAAGATTAAGAAAACAAGTATTTTTAATTAAATAATCTAAAAATCATGTATTATATGTTTCCCTAAATTAAAATGGAAAGAGAGCTCCAGACGCTTGACAAATGTGCCTTCTCACACTTGGTCGGTTTTGGAGCCGCTGCTGGAGACAGCAGATGTGGACAGCCAGGCTTTAGTGTTTCTGGTCTCAGGGGTCCCAAGAGACCCTGGCGCACGAGACCAGTTTCTGGAGCTATTTACATACTTGGAACAACTGAGATAAAGCACGAGACTCTGGTGAGTCGGGTAGATATAAAGCCTCACTGAATATTCTGAAAGACCGATCGCTCCAGATTTGCAGGAACTCACACCAGACAGCATCGACCCCATCTCTCTCTGCTTTCCCACACTGGATCTGGGCTGGGCTCACACCCCTACAGACTGGTTCCACCACGGCTGGACATTTCTTTACTTTTAAAAATAGCATTTGTTGTTGTTCTCTAATTAGAAAGACATGCAGGTTCGCTGCAGAAAATCCAGGAAAAAGTGTAAAAGAGAAAATAGAGGGCACTGACGGATAACTCAAATTAATATTTGGATGTATCAACTCCCAAAGCAAGTTTATATACATTTTTTTAAAAGGAGTCATTTTGTACGTGTTTTATTTTAAGATTTTTTTGATGTGGACCATTTTTTTTTTTTTGTGGTACATGGGCCTCTCACTGTCGTGGCCTCTCCCGTTGGCGGAGCACAGGTTCCGGACGCGCAGGCTCAGCGGCCATGGCTCACGGGCCCAGCCGCTACGCGGCATGTGGGATCTTCCCAGACCGGGGCACGAACCTGTGTCCCCTGCATCGGCAGGCGGACTCTCAACCACTGCGCCACCAGGGAAGCCCTTGATGCGGGCCATT